GGAAGCATAAATGCAATAAGGGGAAAATATATACATTTCGGGTTATCAATTATCACTTTTAAAGTTTTAAATGGCTTGAAACCGATTGAAAAAAATGTCTGTTTTGGTTTCGATTTATACACTGGTTTCTATTTTTTTTCGGTTTTGGTTTTGGATTTAATACCGATTTCCAATTTTTTCCGATTTTGTTTTTGATTTTGTCATCGGTTTCAGTTTTTAAACGATTTATACCGGTTTCTAAAATCGGTTTCAATACCTGAACTATTTACGTTCATTCTTAGTTTATTAATTTTTTTGAATCGCTGGATCGAGCTTCCGTTCGCTCGTGTAAAGTAAACTTTCAAAAATGTCAAGATACAGGTATGCAATTTTTGTCGAGTCGGTATTGAATTTTAATACCAGTTAAAGTAAATTTTAAATTAAAGGTGGCTTAAAAGTTTTTTGTGATAATAAATAAAAGGAAATTGAGAAAAAAAGGGGCGCCAAAATCGTAAATACGCCGCTGGCACTATGACGTAAGATTCACTCTGTATATTTTTTGCATAGTAAAAAATTATACAATAATATAAAGTCGTTAATATGTAATACAGTGGCGTACACACGGGGGGGGGGGTTTGGGTGTTCAAACCCCCCCCCCCCTTTAGTATTTTTTCAATTTACGTAATAACGTAAAAATGTATAATAAAAATGCTGACAATTTAAAAAAATATTATATTCCAAATTATACTCCATTATACTATAACTTATAAGCAACCCAGTTTGTTGTTATAATATATTGTAGATATTATTGATAACTTGTTACAAATTAATGAAATTATTGGGAAATTTGTTCAAACACAAACATGAGGGTCGACAATCGTGTAATCCAATATAATATGCCTTAATAGCTATCTCTTTAATCTATTTCTCAGTTTTCAATCAAATTCCTGACTCTTTGGACGCTTAGTAAATTGTACTTACTGTTTAAATATTTTATAAAACAATAAAAATGAAAAGAATAAACGAATATTTTTCTAACTCACTAATTTGTGATACAATTAACTCGGAGGAACCAGGTAAATATTTAATACATTATATCAGGGGTCTCCAAACTACGGCCCGCGGGCCGGATACGGCCCGGCGCCGCCAACAAGTTTTAACCGGCCCGCGGCCCTGGCCCGCATATGTAAATATAGATAAAAAAATTATTTCAAAAATGTATTTATATTATATTATATTTATACCTATTTATTTTTATTTAAGTATATTGTAAAGTAAACAATATTTTATACAAAAATATAAAGTAAACATATTATTTATATAGGTGTAGGTACCTATATTATCATAAATTAAAAATTATATGTGTTAATAAACTTTTGGCCCGCTAAGAGGATTTGATTTTTTTTGTGGCCCTTGAATAAAAAAGTTTGGAGACCCCTGCATTATATTATCAACCTAGGACCTAGGTACAAAAAAATGATTAATATGATAAAAATAAATTTCTTTTTATACCTATCTTTTATTGAATTGTATATAATATATTATTATATACATATTGTATGTACGCTTGTAGCTTTGTAGTTATACTAAATAATTACCTGTAGATAATAGGTATATATTTTTTAAATAATAATCGAGTATTGTAAAAATATTTTTAATTTCACCTTAAGTTCAGGGGCGTCATTTGGGGGGGTGCAGGGTGTACATTTGCACCAACTTTTTTTAAAACTCCTTCTTTGGCCTGCCATTAATAAATATAAGCGCTGATATACCTATGTGTTTTAATTTTATATTTTTTTTCAGTATTAAAAAAAATTTATTGCACTTATAATTTCCAAGAATGTTTGATGTGGTTTTGTGGTCCAATGTGGACTTGGATGTGGACTTTGATGTGGTTTTGATAAAATTATGACACAAATATTGTGAAGAAAGGTACCCATAAAATAAATTTCTGGTTTTATTAAGCTAACTAGCTACTACTATATATTTTGAGTATGCAGAGAGAAAAAATGTGTAGGTTAGGTTCAGTTAGGTATTTTACTATAAAGTGTTATATACCAATACATTTATTTACCAAATGCAAATACCACTGTACACTGATATTCACAATATAAAATAAATACATTAAAAGTATACTTACACATAGTTCGTCAAAAATAGAAACAATATTGAGATATTTTCATACTAATATAAGTGACATATTAAATAAAGTATACAAATATTCGGGAGATGGTATTTTGCTCCAATTTAATAACCTGTAATTTGCGCCATCAAAAGGTACATTTAAGGGCGTATGTAATTTGCACCAAAATATAAAAATATAATATGTATTTTGCGCCACATATACAAATTAATTTTGGTAATTTGCGCCACGACAGAAAACGAAATGGAATATGTAACTTGCACCACACTTTCAACTTCAATATTGTTGGAGTTTACCAGCAGATATATTTACTGATATCGCATAGGATATACAATAATACGTAACGACGTGTGTCCAATATAATATTGTTGTGTTCTACTGATAATAGAGACGTAATTAGACGTAATTGATCTCCGATTACTTTTTGGACATACTGAAAAGATTTCAAACCTAAGCTTTGATTAAAATTAAAAGTATACATCTTAAAAAACGAAATTCTACTAAAAATAAAATTCGTTTGGAAACTTTTCAACAAATATATGAAGACTACAGACAAAATAAAATTGACAGAAAATGCTTTGTTTCATCATCAAGCTATAAATATAAAAAACGTGAGTAAGCTAGGTATTATAAGTACCTAGCTAGGTATTTTATTTAAAAAATTATGTGTTATATTACAAAAATTGTATTACTAAACAAAAATTTACTTATTTAATATACATGGAATTCGTTTTACTTGTATACTTTTATTTATAATTATAATATGACTGATTTTTATATGTTTTATTACTAAACGAAAATTTACTTAGGTATTTAATATACATGGAGTTCGTTTTACTTGTGGCGCTAATTACAATTTCAATAAGGTGAACTATGGCGCAAATTACAACTTTTGTAGGTAAACGATGGCGCAGATTACATATTGCCTTTTTATTTAGTTTCATTTGGCGCAAATTACAAACTTAAAAAGTAGCGCAAATTACCAAAATACAATTTTAGATGTGGCGCAAATTGCATATTTGTTTTTTTTTTTTGTTGTTGTTGTTTTTGGAGCAAATTACATACGCCCAAATATTCTACAGTTTTTGTCCCTACTTGACCCCTTTCCCTTTCAAAAATAAAAATAAAATATGTGGCCTGGTAATGATTTGAATGGCCTGCAAACTTTTTGGCACCAAAAAAAAAAAGTTGAAATGACGCCCCTGCTTAAGTTATTGCTAATGAACTGATTACTCATTATGTACAAAATAATTACTATAGGTAAGTACATCGTTTTGATTTATCAATGTATAATATATATTATATATGTATAAAATTTTTTATATGTAAGCCCCCCCCTCCCCATTGAAAATAGCTGTGTACGCCACTGATGTAATAATACAATTATTTTGAAGTTAAAGTTGAAAAGGGGCCCACTAAGTGTATGGTGTCTCGGGGCCCAATTGATCCTTAATCTGGGCTTGCTAACACATAAATACATAATAGTTAGGTAGGTGTAATACAAATTAAACATTATAGTATTATACATATAAAATATAATATCCGTGACCCTTAGGTCATAAGAATATTGTTGAACATTTTACTGAAAGCTACGTGTTATTTCAGAAATGGTATTAATTCGTCAGTGAAGATTTGTTAGCCGGGAATAAAATATAGCATAAGCAGACTGAAATGAGAAGACTTTGTGTATTTTACTTTCGTATTTAATAATTTTCGGATAAAATACGTTTCTATTAAAATATTTTTCGGATAAAATTATTTTCGTAAATTTATTTTCGGATAATATATTTTCGGCTGAAATATTTTCGGCAATAATATAGCCCCTCTTTCGAAGACCAAGTTGTATAGCAGATTTTGATTCACCACGGACGCGGGGTATGTATTTTCTTATTTTTCAGTATGTTTCTTTTATTTTTGTTAATTGATCAGGGGATATATTATTGCCTACAACTTTTCAATTATTTGTATTGTAACTATACTGGTATAACATTATTCTCGCTATCAGAATATTTAGCTTATATTTTTATGGGAATATAATATTATATATCATTTATTCCACTTATTACTAAATACATTTATTTATTATTTTTATTTTCGTTTAAAAGTATATATTATGTACTTACCTATTTATATTATTACATGACAATAAATAATAACTGCTTCTTATAGAGTACGTGAAGATTAAGTCAATGGAGTTTGGTGGTTATCCAGTTTTTAAAAGTTCAACTGTGATCGAATGCATTTTGATGGTCTCTTATTTGGACACGTTAATTATTAAAAAAATATTCCATAAACGATGTAAATTAATTATCCACTCACTAATAACTAACAATTATTAATAATTATACAATTAAAAATCAGTTTAAACTTGCAAGATATATTTCGACTAAAAATGAGCACTTCACGTCAACGTGATTTGATAGGCGCGTACATAAGACTAACAATATTGTAATAAAATATCTCTTAAACACGCTTCTAAAATATGTAAGAAATAATCATTATAATTATTGTGTAAAACAAGTTTGTTGAATTGAAATCTATATACTTCATTCATCTAAACCATGTGATATGATTCCAATAGCGCTAAGACCGGTATAGGTATCGTTTTGCTCGCGTAGGTTTTTATTCAACAAAACTATTTGTTAAATTACGATTCAATTGTACCTATCTGCTACATATTATTACTAGCTGGCTATACAAGCTAACTATACCTACTGGCCACAATAGAAGCTATAAAAATAACACTACCTAATATCGTTTATTTATTTTTGTAAACAAGTCATTATATGAAAATATCCATTATTAAGTGTTTAGCTCCACAGCAAAGTTCGTAATTTTCTGTACTTACGACGTTCGTCTGTTGCAAAACCTTAAAGAGATGGAAGCCCACTTGGAAGTTTCAACATGCCATCAATGTGCCAGCGAGGGTCATCGATGTGTTTTCGACACACTCGATCTGGCAGTCGATAGGCGGATCAAGGCTGTTTGTTTCCAATTGAGGCACAGACATTTTGGTGAGAGTTTCCGATCCTCACCCGAGCTCAATATTGACTCACCAGTGTACTCGCGCCCAGACCTGAGAAGTCTACAGTCACCCGTGTTGAAAGATGGAGTGAATACCGTGGTGGTTGCCGCCGCATCGACGTCGACGGGTTTTCCGGATTTTCCCGTGACTGCCGAGACCAAAGCCGACAGTCTGGAAACGCAGTCATCTGTCTACGACGGAGTTCAGAATACCGTCCCTACGGAACCAGTGGAAATCCTGGCACGGTCTGAACACCGAAAATCCCAGTCCACCCGCAGCGAGAGTCGGTGCGTTGTCGACACGCTCAATCTCGCAGTTGACCGCAGGATCACGGGCGTCGGTCTTCCGTTGCGGCGAAGTCAAGATGATAGTTTCCGGTCCTCACCCGAGCTCACACTTGACTCGCCCATGTACTCAGACCTGAGAAGTCTGCAGTCACCCGTGTTGAAAGATGGAGTGAATACCGTGGTGGTTTCCGCCGCATCGACGTCGACGGGTTTTCCGGATTTTCCCGTGACTGCAGATACGAAAGCCGTCAGTCTGGAAACGCAGTCATCTGTCTACGGCGCAGTTCAGAATACCGTCTCTACGGCACCAGTGGAAATCCTGGCACGGTCTGAACCCCAAAAATCCAAGTCCACCTGCAGCGACAGTCGGTGCGTTGTCGACACGCTCGATCTGGCAGTTGACCGCAGGATCACGGGCGTCGGTCTTCCGTTGCGGCGAAGTCATGGTGATGGTTTCCGGTCCTCACCCGAGCTCAAACTTGAATCGCCCGTGTACTCAGAGCTGGGAAGTCTGCAGGCACCCGTGTTGAAAGATGGAGTGAATACCGTGGTGGTTGCCGCCGCATCGACGTCGACGGGTTTTCCGGATTTTCCCGTGACTGCAGATACGAAAGCCGTCAGTCTGGAAACGCAGTCATCTGTCTACGGCGGAGTTCAGAATACCGTCCCTACGGAACCAGTGGAAATCCTGGCACGGTCTGAACACCGAAAATCCCAGTCCACCTGCAGCGAGAGTCGGTGCGTTGTCGACACGCTCAATCTCGCAGTTGACCGCAGGATCACGGGCGTCGGTCTTCCGTTGCGGCGAAGTCAAGATGATAGTTTCCGGTCCTCACCCGAGCTCACACTTGACTCGCCCATGTACTCAGACCTGAGAAGTCTGCAGTCACCCGTGTTGAAAGATGGAGTGAATACCGTGGTGGTTTCCGCCGCATCGACGTCGACGGGTTTTCCGGATTTTCCCGTGACTGCAGATACGAAAGCCGTCAGTCTGGAAACGCAGTCATCTGTCTACGGCGCAGTTCAGAATACCGTCTCTACGGCACCAGTGGAAATCCTGGCACGGTCTGAACCCCAAAAATCCAAGTCCACCTGCAGCGACAGTCGGTGCGTTGTCGACACGCTCGATCTGGCAGTTGACCGCAGGATCACGGGCGTCGGTCTTCCGTTGCGGCGAAGTCATGGTGATGGTTTCCGGTCCTCACCCGAGCTCAAACTTGAATCGCCCGTGTACTCAGAGCTGGGAAGTCTGCAGGCACCCGTGTTGAAAGATGGAGTGAATACCGTGGTGGTTGCCGCCGCATCGACGTCGACGGGTTTTCCGGATTTTCCCGTGACTGCAGATACGAAAGCCGTCAGTCTGGAAACGCAGTCATCTGTCTACGGCGGAGTTCAGAATACCGTCCCTACGGAACCAGTGGAAATCCTGGCACGGTCTGAACACCGAAAATCCCAGTCCACCTGCAGCGAGAGTCGGTGCGTTGTCGACACGCTCAATCTCGCAGTTGACCGCAGGATCACGGGCGTCGGTCTTCCGTTGCGGCGAAGTCATGGTGATGGTTTCCGGTCCTCACCCGAGCTCAAACTTGAATCGCCCGTGTACTCAGAGCTGGGAAGTCTGCAGGCACCCGTATTGAACGACGGAGTGAATACCGTCCAACCGGAACCAGCTGAAATGCCCCAGAAACCGGCCAGGTCTGAACGTCGCAAGTCCGCGTTTACAAGATCAAGACGGTTCATCTGGAAGGGTCTGGTAAACGCGGCTCGCAGACTTTGTTGCTGCCGTACTTTTGTGGACATGGAATGAGCTAAATTACCATAGTGGTCGCGGCTGTGCTACCGGAAGTCAGTCGCCGATCAACCCGTTCGTTGTTTTTGATATAATATTCGTCTAACTCTATATCTTTATTTGAGTTAGTCGAATAATTAAGTATTAACTAGCTGTTTCCGTTTTGTGTTGCCGCTCAGTTACGTGTGCCTCAAGGGGCCATTGCGCTGTCGCCTTTTCCAGAAAGCTTATGCTTAAAGGGAAGTTGCAAACTTGTGTTATACATTTTTTTTTTTTGCATATGTTATTGAAAATGTACTAATATTATTCTATTCTATTATAATAAACCACGATTATATACCTACTAACATATTGATTTGTTATATATATATTATTTACTATGGTCATTTTCTCCCTCAACTCTTCGAAAGTCGCAAGTCGGACTAATGTATCCTTATCAGGTTTGCGTTTATTTGTCATAGGTATTATTTTCACACTATTCTACTACCTATAGTGTTTTATTTGTTAAATAAGTAATACAAAAGCCCCGTTTTCCGCTCCATGGATCGCGGTCGGTTTCATTTAAATATGTTTCAGTCAAAAACTGAAATTGCACCTATATCTCCAGCCCACTATGTATAATAAATACGAATAATAGGTATACTTTTACTCTCGTATAATACTTATCGGCTACGGATTAGAGTTTTGATTTTACTTGAAAATATTATTGCAGTATAATATATCTAATACGATTATTTGGTACATAACACGTCTCTTTATATTATTTTATAAAAAAAAATATTATTAATATTGTTAATTAAAAAATAATAATATATTATACATATTATATCCCTATATGACGGTAAAATATGTAACAAAGATGATTTATAGAACTCGAGAGCTGAACACTTAAATGAACTACATCGACGCTCGCCGAATTTATAACTATCTATCTACTTACTGTGTTGGTACAATGGTACCTGCAAATAATTACCGTCGTTGAATTATTAAAACTGTATCCAAAATATATGTAGATATATTATAAATTATTTATAAGTCATGAGTAAATATAATAAAGGCGCTTCAAATATAAAATACAATTATAATTTAAATTAAAAATATTAACAAACTGAAATGAACACAGTCAAGTTATGAGAAATATTAAAATGCATTTTATTTAAGTATTATATATATTTTGACTTGCGGGCATTTATAAAATAATCAACGAACTTATAAACGATTATAATAAAAATCGTTGGTAATTTTCTCATTAAATAAATCTTACATGTATCTATGTAAAATGTTGTAAATAATCGTGCATATTATATTATTATCAATCGTTATAGATTTGTCAAAAATAAAAAAAAAACCGTAACATCATCAGGAAAACTTTAAAATAAAACATATTATGGGGTAAGTACCTAGATATAGCTAGCTGTTATTTAAGATTTAAAAATAAAACTAAAACTTTACAGTTCCAATATAGAAATCGATTACAAACACTTTATATCATAATAATATACCAGCTATTACAATATGGGCAGTGGCGTGTCCAGCGGGTAGGCCTGGTATTCCCGGGCCTACCCTGATTTTTAACCTTTAAGTATACCCAAAATATGCATTTTAAAATTATATATAATAAGCACACGATATATCGATCATATTTATTGTTGTGAACAAAATAAATATTTGTCTATAAATAAAATTAATAATTGTAAAATTGTTATCGTCAATTCTCAAGCGCTTCTTGGAAATAGGTACCCCATATTTCTATATAGATATTACACGACCCGACGTCCGACGACCGTCGTCGTTTGGTCAGCGATCACCGCCGTAGTGTTGAGTGTCAAAAACTATGACATGGCTATTAGCACACTATTAGATAACAAATATTACACGTCATAAATTTTTCTTAAACGACTTAAACTCAAAATGTGTTGACTATACAAGTTATTTTTATAACCAGGCCTGTCCTGAATTTTGGTCCTAGACACCGCCTCTGAATATAGGTACCTCCTAGATATAGACACTAGACAGTTGCAGGGCCTCATTTAGGGAGGGGCGCTGGGTACAACTGCCCCCGGGTGCCAGTATTTTAGGGGCGCCAATATTTTGTGGTCAAAAATGTATTTACTTGTGTATTATTAAAATTTTATTATTTTAATTATTTTAATAACAGTATTATATAATATAATTTAGTTTAATAGTAGGTATTATATATATTGTATTATGCTGTTTGAAATTGTTTTAATTAATATTAATTTGCATAGTTTAATATAATTATATCTTATTTATTCATGAAGTACCTATAACCTATACTTAAATATTATGTTAAAAAAAACAACTTAAATGATGAATTATAAGCAAGGTTTAAGTGACATAATTCAAATGTATCTTTGCGGAGAGATAATCAAGCAATTACCAACCATTTATTTTAAAAAAAGCACACATTGTAAAACAAATATTCTTTTCTGTGCTCAAAATCTAAAAGGTTAATGAGGATCTATCTCCCATATTTTCCGTGGGTAAGCCCCTTAGGGGGAGCAATTTTTTTCCCCCGGGGCGCAAAATGTCTAAATGCGGCACTGGCTTATATGAAAGGGAAATGCGAAAAGGAAATGTAATTTTAGGTTAGGTTAGCGAAGTGTGTGTAGCAGATATGAGAATATTAAGTTAGGTGTTGAGGTACAAAGGAGGATAGAATAGGAAATTTATTAATTAAAGGTTGTGTAGTGTTGTGGCATATATTGTAGTGAAAACAAGATAGAACATGTTTAGGTGGCTCCGTGACTGTATGATAAAATATAGTGAGAGTGGCTATAGAAGTTAGAGTCAGGGGCGGACTGGCTTCTTTAGAGCGGCCCGGGAATTTTTTTTAAAGTGGCCCAAAAACTATTGTCTAACCTAATTATAACATTTATGTTTAAAATACGACACATTTTTTCCATTGCATATTCAAAATATAAATAATAACAGCAGGTATATCATGCGTTTTAGGTAATATATTTAATTTATTGGCTTAAGGAATTAATAATTTATGAAATGTTTTGCTTTTTTAGGCTAAACGGTCTATAACCGTTTGGTGCTGTATGTAAATTAAAATATTTTTTTCTGTAGCCATTAAGACAAAAGCTTCTAGATTATTCCGTGTCATGCTGTTTCGAGAAGACAATTTCATTCATTTTTATAGTATAAAAAACAATTAAAAATTCAATAAATTAATTCATATTTATTTTATTATTTAAATATGTTGTTGTTGCATACATATCAATATATTATTAATTATAATTTAGTAAAATAGTTCACGACTCACATCGTATTGCCATTTGCCGCGCAAACCAAATTTTACAAAATTGTCTAAAATAGTATTATCTTCTATATTTATCTTACCTTTTAAAAGGCGATATCGGGATCGTAAATATTCAAAAGGTACGTGCTTCTTTCCAGTAGTCAATGCAAAATATAAATGAACTATTATTAGTTATTACAATATTACAGACGACAGACTCGTGAACGAAATACGAAAACAGTATATATTATTTTTAAATAATATTATATTGAATTATCGTATACAAACAAATAGTGATACCGCCACTGATACAAACCCAAATGGTTGCCGGATGCGTTATTGGCTATTATTTCTATTTATATAAACTAAAATTATTTTTATAACTGTGTCTTAGAACAACAAAATATAATTTTTGGTATCATTATTATCGTATTATTTATGTTATATTTTATAGATTTTAAATACACAAAACACTGAATACTATATTACTAAAATTTAAAAATCATAATATAAGTTAGTTATTTGTACAATCAAACTGCCCCGCCCGAGACGGCCTATAATCCCATTATTCGACCGGCCCATCGGGAAATTTCCCGATCTCCCGATCTGCCAGTCCGCCCCTGGTTAGAGTCTGAAGAAAAGATGGATAGACAGAATACCGATCATATGTAGGTGTGGGATGAGAGTGGTTGAACCTGAATAGTTGTGAGAGAAGGGGGAAGAAAAAGTGTGAAGGTAGAATAGTTATGTTAACAATGCCGAATACGTAGTAAAGGATCTTGAATTGCAAAGGTCACTTGACTCTTTGGCTGAAACTACCGTTATCAGTTGATATAGGTTTACAACCTAGACTTATGGGATAGAATAAAAAAGATCGGTTGCCGGTTGGGATGTCAGCGCCATAGATATATACAACAACTAGATAGCCGTCTCCTTTTTGTCATCGAAGTCGACCCCCCATTTACAAAGCAGGCAATGTTTACAAAATAATATTATCATAGTAATTATAAATAAATGTAAACATTGCCTGCTTTATAAATGGCGGCCGATTTCAACATTGGTCACAACTGTAATATAAAGACGGCTATCTAGTTGTTGTATATATCTATGGCGATGACATCCCAACCGGGAATTCGGGGGAGGGGGGGGGGGCAAAATGAGCAGTTGCTCCAGGTGGCAGGGACGACCATATAATTAAGAGTGGCAAAAAAATGTCGTTTGTAATATAATAGACGCCGGGGCACCGAATTGCCAGAATTATACGATATTGCCACCTACCATTTATTGCAGTACTGACTACTAAGACTATGTAGCTTGTTATTCGATTATATTTATGTTTGCTCCCCCATACATTGTCCCTTAATACGGCCCAGTATATGTATGGTCAGCACATTATTTGCTTTCCATCTTTGATCCACACGTAGCATAACTAATGTACGAATAACAGAACCAAAACGAAGTTGTTACTTTTAATGTTAGATTAAAAATATTAAGTTAAGAAAATTACATACGTCGTTACGTTGGTTACTTGATGATATTTTAATTATTATATAAGTTATGACTCTAAATAATTACAATTTAAAAATGATTATAAACGATTAGACAAATCTAAAGAAAAAAAAAATTATAATTAATCTACTAAAAATAAAAATATCTATATATTCATTATTAATACTTTAAGTATAACAATATATGCAATACGAAAAAAATAAATGAAAACTAAAATGTTATCCCAGGAAAAAATTAATTC